TCAACTTCGGACATAGGTGTTTTGGGTTATATCGGCATACTTTAACATAAGGAACACCCTCCCGAAGTTTGGTCCATTCCTCCTGGGACACCCTGTATATATATATATATAACAAAACACGTGACAACATATATATTGTAGCATGTACAGCCATTGCTATGTAACAGGTGTATACACAATGAACATCTCTGAGTAACTGCTTGATAAACATGTTCCTACAGAAACCATTACATACATAACAATAGACTTACTGTGGAAATGGGGTGTTTTCTGTGGTCCGTGCTGAGATGTTATGAGCAGGACAGTTTGAAGCAACCAGTGGAGAGTGTGCTCTGCAAGATAGACTGAGAAGAGGTGGCACCATAGTTCAGTTGGCAGTTCACTTGTGGGATATTTGCTGGGCAGTAATGATGGGAGCATGTGAGCCAAAGAATCTTTATTGTTGAGAGCTGTTACCGATCATCAACTAGTGAAGATACTGAAGGCTGGAGAAGACTTAGCATGTAGTGATTTGTAAAATGTGGAAATCAGCGAGAACATTATAGTTATTTGTAGTTATGACCTGTAAGTGGTCAATAAATCTGTTCACCAATCCATACCCTGTCTATAATTACACATAAAACATGACAATATATACAGATTGGGAATATTAGTTTGGCTATCAACTACAAGAAGGAGACCTGAAACTCCAAGACTTGCATTACAGTAACATAGAAATGGATCTTGTGGAAACTGATCGTAAGTGGCTCGGGCTACTTCGTTTGAATACAACTTATAAAAATTTAAGGATATATTTCATCTCTTTGTAAAGAGGAAGGAAAAGAGGTAAAGTGCTTCAGGATTGTGGAGCAGTAATATTGTATAATCATGGTCATAGGAAATTAGTAGGCTATTAGAAATATGAGGTAAGTATGCTGCACACAATATTGCATTCATACAAAATATGTACCTAAGTTGTAATTGTGGTGTCTTTTAAGGTTTGCTGAGAAGCAAGTGCAACTCTTGAGGTTGTGTAATGATAAGCAGCAGCTGCGGGAGCTCTGTAACATCTTCCTTCAGAGAAATCTGCACTCAGATCAGTTGGTATGTATTAATGTCCAGGCTCTTTTGCAGACCCATTTTAGACTCAGTTCAAATTCCATAACAAAATTTTGCATGGATGTTATGGTTTAGGAATTAATATTCCTCTACTCAACAGATATATTGAAACCAGTTATTTTCATACATAACTGAATGCATTTCACAAATTTATCTTTGGTATTTTTAAGTAACTGTAGTTGTTCTAGGAAGTGAACTTTTTGTTTCAAGTTTCCTGACGGGCATAAATCATATTCATATCCAGGGAATATGGCAGCCATAGTCTTCTGCTGCTTATTCGTTCATCGAAAACAATTTCCAATGCCTGATTTTGGTTTTCTATCTGGTTGGTGGCACATTGTCGTGTTGAAAATACAAGTAATTTTCTGTTTCCTCAGTTACTTCTTCAAAGAAGGGCTTCAAAATTTTGTTCACATGTTGTTCTGAATTGTCTCGAAAGAATGTGGGGGCCTATGATTCTTCTGGAGTTTACAGCAATTTTTGGTAATATAATGAGATTTGGAGGATAACATGAGGATTTTCAGTATCCTGGTGGAGAGTGTTCTCTCAGGAGCATCAGCTATACTATTGGTTATTTCAAAAGTGCCAGTTGCTAAAGTTAGATGTCGAAAATTACACTGCAGATTGAAGGTGATGGATGACCAATATCTTGTAAGGATGCAGTTTGAGAACTTTGCTGGCCGTAAGACCAGACCGGACAGTGGTTCATCGGGGCAATTAATAAAGTGACTTTTGGACTCATTCTGAGTCTTGTTTGGATGTTTAGGAGAGTTTCTGATGTCAGCATTGCTAGAGTCTGATGTGTCTGAATTGGCAGCAAATCTGGTTTCTTTCCAGTTTTTGTACAACTTTAGTGTATACAATTCAGTAGATAAAGGTGATTCTGGATATGGTCAATGAAGTTGATTTATGGGGTTGCCATAAGATGTCTTCACATTAAGAAAAAGGCCATGTTCTTTAATACCAAGGTTGAACACAGACATAAAGAATGCTGATATCTGACTGGTCCCAAATATGGATGTGCAGTGGTTGACAGAAATTAACTGCACCCTTACTATTGTGGCAGCAGTGTAGTGAAACACTGTGTTTATTTTAGTTCATGAGTCACTGACCACTCTCTCACTCATGGGGCTGAGCTGTTGAGAAGCCGCCAATTGTGCAGCTACTCAAGAACTTCCAGCATTTTATGGAACCTGAAGGTTCATTACCATGTTCACAAGAGCCCTCCACCGGTCCCTGTCCTGAGCCAGATCAATCAAATCCATACCAATCCATCCTGTCTGTCTAATATACATTTTAATATTGTCTGTTCACCTATGCCTTGGTCTTCCCAGTGGTCTCTTTCCATTTGGCTTTCCCACCAATATCCTATATGAATACCTCTCCTCCCCCATTCATGCTACTTTCCCTGCCCATTTCATCCACCTTGACTTGATCATTCTGCTTATTCTTGGAGAAGAGTACATGTTATGAAGCTCCTCATTATGCAGTTTTCTGCAGCCCCCTATCACTTCATCTCTCTTTGGTTCTAATAGTCTCCTCAGCACCCTGTTCTCAAACACCTTCAGTCTATGTTCCTCCCTTACTGCCAGAGACCAAGTTTCACATCCATACAGAACCACAGCCAAAATTGTAGTTTTTTATGTTCTAATTTTTATGTTTTTCGATGGCAGATGAGAAGACAAAAGGTTCTAGACTGAATGGTAGCAACCATTACCCAAATTCAATCTCCTCTCAGTTTCTTCTCAAATCTGATTTTGATTTGTTATAGTCGTTCCCAAATATCTGAACTGTGACACATTTTCAAAACATCTCTTACCTATGTCTATATCACAATATTGCCGTGTATCCTGGTGATAAGACAGCAATATACGTACTATACTTATTTTTCTCTGTGTTTACTTGTAGACCAATCTCCTTATTAGCATCAGCTAAAGTGTCTGTGTTTTTCTTTATGTTATCTATATTATTATCAAGTAGATTCACATCATCAGCATAGACCAATATCTGATGTGTCCCATTTAATTTCAGTCCCACCTGGTTTTCCTGGACCTTCCTAATGGCATATTCTAGAGCAAAGTTGAAAAGGAGTAGTGATAAAGCATTTCCTTGCTTTTGTCCATTCTGGATAGGGAAATTGTCAAATATTTACCTATATGGACTTTACCATATGTTTCATTTACACACATTTTAATTAGCCTGACTATTTTCATGGGTACCCTAAACTCTATGAGAATATTGTACAGTATTTCCTGCCTAACTGAATCATAGGCTTTCTTGAAGTCTGTCAATAGCTGATGTACTCTCTCCTTGTACTCCCATTTTTTCTACAGTATCTGACAAATGCTAAGCTCTGATCAGTAGTTGATCTGTTATGTCAAAACCCACACTGTTGATCCACAATAATTTCATCTCTGTATGGACTTAATGTTGAGAGAAGATTATTGGACAGAATTTTGTATGAAGTTGATAGCAGTGATATCCCACAATAATTACTACAGTCAGTTTTATCACCCTTCTTGTGAACTGGTACAATGATAGACTCCTTCCACTGATCAG